AAACCCTATAATTTTGCAAGTTTTATGATATATTTAAAAATATTATTTTTTAAATAATTAATTTTAATTAATATTTTATACATTTTAATCATTTATATTAATATTTTAAAAATTTATAGCCACAAAACAACCTAATACTAAAAATAAAAAAACTTTATAGCACAATATCGAATGTAAAAATAGTAATAATAATAAACCCTATAATTTTGCAAGTTTTATGATATATTTGATCCGAGACAGATAAAAGAAGAGAAAAAAAATCTTTTATTTGGTTAAAAAAAATTATAAGGGTGGGGAGGGAAGTTATTTATATTATTTTTTTTCTTTTAATATTTTTAATTATTTAAATGAGAGGATGGGAAGGCAATAGACCTAGCAAATAGGTCGCATTGGGTGGGTTTTGATTGGATCATCTCGAATCTCGAATTGTTTGGATTGAATCATTTTGAGTGTCGAATTAAGAAAGTTGACTCATGATCTACCCATATGGGTTTCAGATTGGATTTAGTGGATCCAACTTTTAAAAAATTAAAATTAAAATTAAATTTTTTCTATGTTTTTCTCTAACAAAATCTAATACTAAGTAATTATTTAGTTAAAAATTTTTATTACTAATTAACTATTTAGTTAGAAGCCATATTAAACGTTAATTTTCATTTTATAATTCAATTTTTTTTTTCCAATCTCAAGAAAAGAAAAGGAAAAGATTAGTATTGTATAGGTGAAACTAAAATATATGTCAAATATATAATATTTATACAATATTTAGAATTTATAATTTCATAAAAGTATTAACTTTTATTAAAAGAAAAAACATGAAAGATTAGAGTTTAAAAGACAAATCCAATATATATTAATATCTGATGCCAATTCAATATTTATAAAAGTATTATACAAAAAATACAGCTCTATTCAATATTTAAGAGGGTATTATACAAAAAATATGGTCTTATTTAATATTAAAGTTTAAAAGGTAAATCCAAAATATGTCTAACCAAATACAAGAAGAAATTGGATTGGAATTGATTTTTATTAATTAGGAATAAATTATTAATTAAGAACAAATTAACAACTAAAAATGGACTTTGATGTTCTTTATGTTCTTGTCTTTATATTTTTAATAGTTATGAGAGTACTTTAACCATTGGATTTTGATTTTCAATAGACATTCTTACTTTTTATTTTTTTTAAAATGATCTTTTTTATTATATTATATAACATAACTCACCATGTGATATATAATCTAATTTTTTACGCGAGTGCCACCAAAGCCACCAAAGAAAAGGATCAGAGAGCTTGAGACGAAGAAGGGGAGAGTAAGAGTGGAGAAGAGGAAAAGTTGAGAGAAAGTGAAATTGATGAGAGATTAGGGTTTGAGTATTTTATTTATTTATACTTTTAGGATTAGAAAATTAAAAATTAAAAATTAATTTTTAAGTAATCTAATAAAAAATAAATAAATAAATAAAAATTCAGATCATTTCGGGTGACTCGACCCACCTATGACCCAACCCATTTGAATTTGGATAATTTCAATCTGAATCATTTCGAATTTTGACTTAACATATAAGACCCATGACCCTATCCACAACGGATGAGTTGGGTCAAATTTTCAGATTAGGTTCAATTTTGCGAAGTCTAGAAAAGAGAACTCCTTTCCCGTTCTCTCCATTTTCTTTAAATTAAACATACAATTTATGATTTTGTTATGGTACATTTAACCTTGATTATTATTGAAAAGTGACGTAATGTTTTATATATATATATAAATAAATTCATTCGTGAAAATGAATTATTACAAATTTAAACAGAGTACAACAGTTCTTACAATGTGACTTCTCCAATTCCAACAAAAGTTGCCAATCTAAGTAAATCC